GAGAGAGAGAGAGAGAGAGAGAGAGAGAGAGAGAGAGAGAGAGAGAGAGAGGCTGCAGGTGGCCTCCAACGGTCACAGGGGCATCTTGAGAAAATGGACAGTACCTGTAGGGTCATATCAAAAACATTTGTGGTGGTACTGAACGGCTATCCAGTAGAGGCATACTGAAATGTGGAACAGGTAGCAGAAGGGGCATTATGAACATAGTTCGACACCAGATTTTTGTGGCAAAGTTGAACCGTTGTCAGAGGGGTGCAGCAGGGTTAGTCGGTTGTCAGAGAGGCACGACGAAAATAAAAGCGACTTTTAGGTCATGATGCAAACTTTCCCTATTGTAAAAACCGCTATAATACGGCTATATTATATATAATATATATATTGGAAAAACCACTTAGCCGTTTTGTGGAAGTAATGGGCTGCCAAATTAACCTTGCAGAGCCTCCCATACTAGGTCACGGTTCCACTAGGAGAATATTTTGAAACTGGAACCAGTTCCACTTTTAGCATCTCTTTTTTTTTTCTTTTTTTTTTTCTTTCTTTTTTTAAACAAATGCTCCAGTCTATTCGTGGGGAGCAGCACGTGCTGGGAACCGGGCCCAGCGTCCCATATCGAATTATACAGATCCTTGAGAACATTTGAGATGATTTAAGATACCGGGGCCATTACCCGGCTTCGGCTGAGATCAGTCTGCGAATATCTAATGACCTATTAAGGAACTACTCATGCAATAGGCTGCCACAGAGGTCCTACGAGTGCTCACAGCCCTCAGGATCCCTAACAAGCCCTTCTAAGACTTTCCAACACAGTCTTACTCCCTGCTGAGCTCTTCCAGGCCTCATGCCCCCACCCTGCTGGGTTACAGGGCAACACAACTCGCCCCAGCTCCGACCAGTGTCGTCCCAGCAGCAAACCTTGGCTGTCCCTTGGGATGCCCACCCCAAAGCATCCCCAGATATCTCTACCAGTCCTCACGCTCCTGCATCAGCAGGTTACAGGGCAACACCCCAGCGCCGGCCAACGTCGTTCTGGCATCGAACAGCCGCAGATCACTGAGTATAACGGCTTCAAAACCGCCTAGGATGGG